GTGCCAGCACCGGCAGATCTGCATGGTGCTGAAAATAAGGTGAGTTTTTACTAGTTTTAAGAGGGGTAATAGGGGGCAGGGGAAATAAATAGTTAGTTTAAAACTATAGGGTCAGGAATACACATTTGTGTTCCTGACACTATAGTGTTCCTTTATTATAAAAGCAATATGAATATATTGTATAAGTGGGATTTAATGAGTATTGTAAATTAGAAAAACTTTTATAAATATAAAGTAGAACATGTATGAACCTAATTTAGAGATACCCAGGGTGGATATTGTTTCAATATATTATATTGCTGTTACAGTAAAAAAAAATGCATTTGGTTAATTTAAAAATTATATACATGTGATGGCTTCTTTTTTAAAGGGTTCCCATTGGACTGGTTAGAGCAGTGGTAATGTCTCTGCTCTAGAACTGGGAGGGGGGGTGGGGAGGTTAGGTTTCAGTCCACGTCACCAGTAAGGGTCCTTGGACAAGACACCTAATTATATATGTATCCTGGTAACTCAGGGCTCGAGTCCTGCAGGAACGCGTGGGAACGTCGTTCCTGCACTTTTTTCACAGCAGGAATGCTGTTTCCGTTGCTCCTGCAGGACCAGGGCCGTCTTTAACTGCAGCTGCCCCGGGTCACCTTCCGATCCGATCCTTCACTATGCGAGCCGCATCGGTACATAGTGAAGGACTCAGACTTACTTGCTCCTCTTCCTGACCTCCCCTGCCCTTTGAGTATGCGGCAATGCACGTCCCATGACTTCACGCGGAGGCGGAGTCACGGCAACGCTGGGGTAAGCCCCGGGTCACAGCGGTCTCCTCCAAGAAAGAATTGCAGAGCGGCCTGACACAGTCACTACACACTCCTTCCACCCAGCACTGATCCTTAAGCCTGCTAAACCTGTTCTTCAGAACTGTAGGTATATAGAAACATAGAAACATAGAATGTGACGGCAGATAAGAACCATTCGGCCCATCTAGTCTGCCCAATTTTCTAAATACTTTCATTAGTCCCTGGCCTTACCTTATAGTTAGGATAGCCTTATCCCACGCATGCTTAAACTCCTTTACTGTGTTAACATCTACCACTTCAGCTGGAAGGCTATTCCATGCATCCACTACCCTCTCAGTAAAGTAATACTTCCTGATATAATTTTTAAACCTTTGTCCCTCTAATTTAAGACTGTCCTTTTGTTGTGGTAGTTTGTCTTCTTTTAAATATAGTCTCCTCCTTTACTGTGTTGATTCCCTTTATGTATTTAAATGTTTCTATCATATCCCCCGTGTCTCGTCTTTCCTCCAAGCTATACATGTTAAGATCCTTTAACCTTTCCTGGTAAGTTTTATCCTGCAATCCATGAACCAGTTTAGTAGGCCTTCTCTGAACCCTCTCTAAGGTATCAATATCCTTCTGAAGATACGGTCTCCAGTACTGTGTACAATCCTCCAAGTGAGGTCTCACCAGCGTTCTGTACAATGGCATGAGCACTTCCCTCTTTCTACTGCTAATACCTCTCCCTATACAACCAAGCATTCTGCTAGCATTTTCTGCTGCTCCATTACATTGTCTGCCTACCTTGATATATAAGGGGAGGGGAGCTATTACTTGTTTGATGGGAGTAAGAGGGCTGGGTGGTTGGAGGGGTTTGGTGGCAAGTAAAGTATTATCTGGGTATTAAAAAAAAAAAGTAATCTGATAAATACAAAACATATAGTGAGATATTGCGCTTTTATATTTTTTGCCCAGAATTAGAGAGATATACATTTTACAGCTGTAACTGGCCCAGAGCACATTTTTCTACATGCTAGTATTTGCACATAATACAAGGATTCATAAATGTGCGCTGCCTTTTAGAACCTGCAAGGCCTTAAGTCAGATAAGGAACACCTCTGGGAAAAGTGGACTTAAAGAAAGACTCTAAACATGCTAAGCTGGTGGCAATCATTCAATGAGTTAATCCCTAAATTCTCTTACAACATGGGTATCGCCAGTGCAGTGAGCTGTAGTGGTTATGGTGCTTGGAGCATTCCTTTAAAGATAATTATTATTATTATTTTTTGGGGGGGCTGGGGGGGCATTGGGTGAGTCTCACACTTTTTTCCTCAGGACTTGACCCCTGTGGTAACTGCTTCCTCTAACTCACCTATGTAGCAATAAGTGGGCCCCTCTTCCACAGACATTCTAAATGCACTGCTCCTATGCCCTGTGCACAACTTCCACCCACTACAGGTGCCAGAAAATGGAAAGCCAGGGGCAGAGCCACAATAGCGCCTCCCACTTAGGGAGATCCCTCCAACATCATGTCATACAATATATTATTTACCAAAAGGTTTGTGTTATACACATGTTGCAACCTTGAAATATGTTTTTTTATTATTATTATTATTTGCTTGTTAGATATGTAAAATAAACATTGCAATGAAAAATTGAATATATGAATTTTACTTTTTTTTGCTAACTTTTTGACATTTTCCTGATATATTTAGTTTTTTTACAAAGGGGGAATTGGGGCTGCACCTGGAACATGAAAGTAGTGGTGCTGCCGTAAACACCAAAATATATAAAAAATACAGAATAATGAACAGCGCACACCCACAAAAAAGACAGCTTTATATTGTACAAAGCTACTTAAAATCACCTACCTTAGCAAACACATATGGGGATTCAGTTACACCATATGGCCATATTGTGTTATGCCCACCACTACGTCACACTACCCCAATATTGGTGGTTACCACACTAATTTTAACATGGGAGATAAACATGCTAACTGCAATACTTACTGCTTAAACTGCTTACAAAGGCTGTCCTCAATTTAAGCTTTCCTGTGGTCGCCTCCAAAGGAGCACCTACAGTGGATGGGTGGGGTGCCCTTCCCTGCCCAATAGGAATCTGTTCTGAATTCCAAATCTACACAGAAAAATCTGGAACTGGAGGGCAGACCTGTAACATGCATTTCTAAGTAATGGTGCTGTCATTAAGATCAAAATATATACAAAATACAGATTAGGGAACAGTGCACATACAAAATAATACATTTTGCCATTTTACAAGGCTACTTAAAATCACCTTTCTTAGCAAACAAATATTTAATTATAGCGTATGGCCATATTGTGTTAAGCCCACCACTATGTCACAATAACCCCTGAGGTTCTTGGATTCTCTAGTCACATGACTTTGCTTGTGTGGAAAATATGCATTACTTTCACAATTCAATGTATTTGTGATTTTTGAGTTTTCCTTCACTGTCAAACCTGTTGGTGACACCAAGTGGGTATTTAAATACCCACCTGCCGGCACTAACAGGTTAAATAAAATAGGAGAAAATAATGTTTTTCCTTATTGGTATACTTTATTGAAGTGTATTATATTTATTTATTTATGAATCAATGTTAAATAGCCACATGAACATAATCACAATTTTCCATGGCTTCCATATGGTGGTTTGTATTATTTCATTTGACTACGAAGCCGAACCATTGACAGGGTTTGCAGCACAAACAATGCAGGAAAAACAACACAATTCATTTTAATCACATTCTATCCTGCTTAAAATGTCAAATATGAAAAATTGGTCACCAAACAAGCTACAGCCTAAAGGTGAATTCATCAAACACCAGCACAGCCTCTTGCATTGTTTCGGACTATGCCTCCAACTGAGGTCGATAGCAGTTACTGGACAGTGAGCAGGCTTTCTGAATTTGATGAATGGCCTCACAAGTGCTGCAGAGGTCAAACAATTATTTTATAAACATGATAGATCTGAACATAGAATGATAACAATGAACCTAATATTTTTCTAAATTGTACTTAAGTGTACAGCTCTAAAAGAACAATAATGAAGCCAAATAATTGTACTGGTCTAAAAGTCCATTATTCATTAAGCCAGCTTTTTATCAGTATATAAAATAATATTTCAATACAATATATTTTAGCGCAAAACTGTAAACCAGGTAAGGCATTAAAAAAAAAAATAAATAAATATATATATATATATATATATATTAAAAAAAAACATCATTGATATATATAAAGACCATCATTGATTTCATACTCCCCCCCCCCCGCCTCCTGCTTGTATAATCTGAAACAATACTTTGCAAAGAGTAACAAATGACATTCTATTTGCTTGTTCAGATAGTTTATCTCTGCTGCAGATACAGATTTAGATTGTTCTCAGTGTAAGCCCAGAGCACAATCCATTGTACACAGTGACATTTAACTTTTCTGTGACAATTTTGGGTTGTATTCTAGAATCATTGCTAACAAGCAGATTGCCATTTATTTTTGTGCACTGATCAATGGAAAGTAAGTTTCTTTTTTGCTGTTGTTGTTGTTTTGTCCTTTAGGTTCCATGTGTGAGCCCATTTGAATGATATGGTCCTTCCGGCTCATTACTGTGTTTAAACATTCAGTTCAGTGTTCTCATTAGTGAAGCCATTTTTTATACAGAATTTTCAATTATTTAATATTTCACTTTTTGCTTTGGATTTTAGCAGATATTAATAATAGCAATTACATGTGGAAATCAATTAATTAACACAGTAAAATCAACTGTAAACAACTAACGATTTTTTTTTCCTTAATATAATTAGTTTCAGTTAGATTAAAATATGCATTTATTTGTCCTTTAGATTATGGGCAACTGTTGATTTATGTTAAAATAACTAAGGCTAGTTGTTTGCTTGCAGATGTATTACCAATATTACATTGTTTTTGTAAAACCCTAAATAAGTATTTGCTACATAATAATTAGATCATCAGTATTGTGACGAAGTGCCCTTCGCCACTTGGTACTGGAGAGGCCTGCTTGCCAGCCTCCTCCCCTGTGACTATGACTCTTTGATGTATTTGCCTTTAAAGCCCCTATTCTACCTTCAGACAGACTATTTATGTAGGCTGCTTTATTTATCTTATGTTTTAGTCACCCTGTACCCATTATAGGTGCAGGGTGTGTGTAATGTAATTGTTTATAGTGTGTGTGTGTGTACTGTGTAATGTATTGCCTGCTCTCTTGTATTGCTGAGGTTTGCTACCAACTAGGTGGGTTTGGCTATGGAGCTGGTCTAGTGCCCTCTGTTGGTAGCAACAGCAATATGCACAGGGCCGGACTGGGAAAAAAATTCAGCCCGGGCATTTTTTTATCACAGCGGCCCACTAAGAAGGGGGCGGGGCAGAGAGGGTGTGTTTTGTCATCACTCATGACATACACGCCCCCTCTCAAAGTGAGCATGTTGGTTCAATGCTCTTCCAGGGCAGACCATGCGCAGAGCTCTGCTGAAGAGCTCTAGCATGAGAAAAAAGCCCTGTATTTGTTCTGCACAGTGCAAGCAAATTTAATAACATGCTTGCACTTTTTCCTTGCAACTTGTCTCTGGTGTCTCTATAAATGGATACCAGGAGACAAAAGGGCCAGGAAAGAGTATTGTGCATGTGTTTGGAGCCTGTTTGTGGTATTACGTTTGTGCAGAGTGAGCTGGTCATGGTGTGGTATTGTGTAATAAGGTCTGTTTTAGTCGTGTTGTGTTTGTGGTGTAATGTAATGCATATGTGGCTAGGGGCTGTAGAGAATGTGTGTATAGGGGATGTAGCAAGTGTGTGCATACAGGCTATAGTGTGTGTGTGTGTGTATAGGTGATTTAGTGTTTGTAGAGAGTGTGTGTTCAGGGAATGTAGTATGTGTTTGCTTACAAGGAATCTAGTGTGCATATAGGGGATCCAGAGTGTGTGTGTGTATATGATCCAGAGTTGGCTAAAGGATCTAGTGTGTGTCTGGAATGTAATGTGTTTAGGGGTGCAGTGTGTGTGTGAGGGGTGTTGTGTGTATGTGTGTATATATATATATATATATATATATATAGTTTATATAAATATGTTTGGAAGTATTGTGTATGTGTGTGATGCAGTGTATTGGGGGGTTGTGTGTGTATGTGAGGGGTGCAGTATGTGTGTGTGAGGTGTGATGTGTGTGAGGGTGCTGTGTGTGTGAGGGTGCTGTGTATGATGTGTGTGAGAGTGTTGTGTGTGTGATGTGTGTGAGTGCTGAGTGTGATAGTGCTGTGTATGATGTGTGATGTGTGTGAGGGTGATGTGTGAGAGTGCTGTGTGTGAGTGTTGTGTGTTATGTGTGTGAGTGCTGAGTGTGATAGTGCTGTGTATGAGTGTTGAGTGTGATAGTGCTGTGTATGATGTGTGTGAGTGCTGAGTGTGATGTGTGTGAGAGTGATGTGCCTGAGTGCTGTGTGTGAGAGTGTTGTGTGATGTGTGTGAGAGTGCTGAGTGTGAGAGTGCTGAGTGTGAGAGTGCTGAGTGTGAAAGTGCTGTGTGTGAAAGTGCTATGATGTGTGTGAGAGTGCTGCGATGTGTGAGATTGCTGTGTATGATGTGTGTGAGAGTGCTATGATGTGTGTGAGAGTGCTATGATGTGTGTGAGAGTGATGTGTGAGAGTGCTGTGTGTGAGTGTTGTGTGTTATGTGTGTGAGTGCTGAGTGTGATAGTGCTGTGTATGAGTGTTGAGTGTGATAATGCTGTGTATGATGTGTGTGAGTGCTGAGTGTGATGTGTGTGAGAGTGATGTGCCTGAGTGCTGTGTGTGAGAGTGTTGTGTGATGTGTGTGAGAGTGCTGAGTGTGAAAGTGCTGTGTGTGAAAGTGCTATGATGTGTGTGAGAGTGCTGCGATGTGTGAGATTGCTGTGTATGATGTGTGTGAGAGTGCTATGATGTGTGTGAGAGTGCTATGATGTGTGTGAGAGTGCTATGATGTGTGTGAGAGTGCTATGATGTGTGTGAGAGTGCTGCGATGTGTGAGATTGCTGTGTATGATGTGTGTGAGAGTGCTGTGTGTGAGATTGCTGTGTATGATGTGTGTGAGAGTGCTGTGTGTGAGAGTGCTATGATGTGTGTGAGAGTGCTGCGTGTGATGTGTGTGAGAGTGCTATGATGTGTGAGAGTGCTGCGCTGTGTGTGAGAGTGTTGTGTGTTGTGAGTGCTGGGTGTGATAGTGCTGTGTGTGATGTGTGTGAGAGTGCTGTGTGTGAAAGTGCTATGATGTGTGTGAAAGTGCTATGATGTGTGTGAGAGTGCTATGATGTGTGTGAGAGTGCTGCGTGTGATGTGTGTGAGAGTGCTGAGTGTGAGAGTGCTGTCTATGAGAGTGCTGAGTGTGAGAGTGCTGAGTGTGAGAGTGCTGGGTGTGAGAGTGCTGGGTGTGAGAGTGCTATGATGTGTGTGAGAGTGCTGTGTGTGAGAGTGCTGTGTGTGAGAGTGCTGGGTGTGATGTGTGTGAGAGTGTTGAGTGTGAGAGTGCTGTGTGTGAGAGTGCTGTGTGTGAGAGTGCTGTGTGTGAGAGTGCTGGGTGTGATGTGTGTGAGAGTGTTGTGTGAGTGCTGAGAATGCTGAGTGTGATAGTGCTGTGTATAAATGTTGTGTGTTGGGGGGTAAATAAACAAATAAAAAATTAAGTGGGGGTAAATATATAAAAAAATAAAATAAAAACTAAGCAAAAAAAAAACTAAACCCCCCCCCTCCCTTCTTACCTTTAGCCTGGGAGGGGGGGACAGGCACGTGGTAGCTGGGAGGGGGGGCACCGGCACTCGCACACCATCCCTGGTGGTCCAGTGGTGAGTGAACTCTCTCGCGAGATCGGGGCGTTGCCATGGCAACGCTCCGGATCTCGCGAGAGAAACCCGGCGGAGCTGCAAGACAGAGCTCCGCCGTGTCCTCTCCCTCCCTCCCCAGCCGCAGGTCTATTTAAATGGGCCGGTGAGGGAGATCTTTGATCTCCCCATCGGCCCTCCATGGAAGACAGCGGGGCCGGCGCTCGGATAGCGCCGGCCCTGCATAGACCGGCAGGGGAGATCCTGGGACCTCCCCTGCCGGCCTCGGCCCCACGGCCACCGCGGCCCACCGGGCATTTGCCCGGTGTGCCCGATGGCCAGTCCGGGCCTGAATATGCACTACCTGAATTGCAAGACTGGTTCATTTGCATATTCGGGTAGATTTGCATATTGCTAATTCTGCAGGCAGGTGAGATATTTAATGTTAAATATTGTCTCCCCCCATCCCTTTAAAAATGTACCATTGTGTTGTGATAAGTCACTGTGTGTTGCTTGATGTGTTTTGACTGTTTGTGATTTTATTGAGGTTTCACAACAATGTTATTGTGGTGACTGTATTGGCTGGTCCCAAGGGAATAAAGGTTTTGACAGTTCTTCTAGATCCCTCTAAACGTAGCCTTGTCTTGTTTTTGGAGGGAGCTGTTATAATCACACTGGGGATTGCTATGCTTTGCATGCTCTGCATGCTCCTCTGAGCTTGAATCACTTAGCTCTTTTAAGAGCTTGTTCCTGACACGCTCTCCTTGGAGGAGGGGTCTTCACCACACCGTCCTGGATGCTGGAGGTTCGTACAGGGTGGAAGGAAGAGTTCTTTCCCACACAGTCCTGGAGAACAGAAGCTGATCCAGGGTGGAAGGAAGACGGCGAGACTCCAGTCAAGATACAGCGGTTGCGGAGTCTGCGGTGGTTGTGGTGTCTGCTGCAGCGCTTGGAGTCCTCAGGAAGCGCTAGGAGCATCCGTCAACGGAGGGTACTCAGTCGGAGTACAAGGAGATCCGTTACATTGGTGGCAGCGGTGGGATGGCGTCCTAGTGCGAGGAGAAGCAGCTCGGAGACACTGGTATCGTATGAGAGGTTATTGAGGGCAACGCTAGCCACTGTGCAGCGTCCCTAACTACAGCAGCATGGAGCAGGGATGGATAGAGCCCTGCGAAGAGCATCTCAACATGATACGTTGCTACGAGGACGACGCTTACATTGAGGAGGTAAAGAGGCGGTTGGTCTGCTATGGCCCAGACCTTTCGAACGAGGTGGTCCACCAAGTAATGCGCCAGTTGAGTG